AGGGTGGGCAATTCCAGCTCCTGGGGGCCACTATCCTGCACCTTTTAGATGTGTCCTTGGTCCAAAACACCTGAATCAAGTAAATAGATGATTAAGAGGACTGAGGTAACTGACAGCATACTGAGGTGGTAATTCAGCCATTTGATTCAGGTGTGTTTGACCAAAGACACATCTAAAAGCTGCAGGATACTGGCCCTCGGGAACTGGAATTGCCCACCCCTGGTTTAGGGTCATTGTCCTGTTGCGTCTCACAAACGTTCTTTGTGATCCAAACACCTCAAACTTGGATTCATCCGTCCACAACACTTTTTTTCCAGTCTTCCAATGTCTGTGTTCTTTTGCCCATCTTAATCTTTTTTCTTTTATTGGCCAGTCTCAGATATGGCTTTTTCTTTGCCACTCTGCCCTGAAGCCCAGAATCCCGCAGCCGCCTCTTCACTGTAGATGTTGACACTGGTGTTTTGCAGCTAGTATTTAATGAAGATTCCAGTTGGGGACCTGTGAGGCATCTTTCTCTCAAACTAGAGACTCTAATGTACTTATCTTCTTGCTAAGTTGTGCAACGCAGCCTCCCACTTCTTTTTCTACTCTGGTTAGAGCCTTTTTGTGCTGTCCTCTGAAGGGAGTAGTAAACACCGTTGTAGGAAATCTTCAATTTCTTAGCAATTTCTCACATGGAATAGCCTTCATTTCTAAGAACAAGAATAGACTGTCGAGTTTCAGATGAAAGTTCTCTTTTTCTTGCCATTTTGAGTGTTTAATTGACCCCCCAAATGTGATGCTCCAGAAACTCAATCTGCACAAAGGAAGGTCAGTTTTGTAGCTTCTGTAATGAGCTAAACTGTTTTCAGATGTGTGAACATGATTACACAAGGGTTTTTAATCATTAATTAGCCTTCTGAGCCAATGAGCAAACACATTGTACCATTAGAACACTGGAGTGATAGTTGCTGGAAATGGGCCTCTATACACCTATGTAGATATTGCACCAAAAACGAGACATTTGCATCTAGAATAGTCATTTACCACATTAGCAATGTATAGAGTCTGTTTCTTTAAAGTTAAGACTAGTTTAAGGTTATCTTCATTTAAGTGCAGTGCTTTTTCTTCAAAAATAAGGACATTTCAATGTGACCCCAAACTTTTGAACGGTTATGTATGTATATGTAAAAGTGTATATATGTATATGTCTATATATATGTAGAAAAATACATATTAACACTATAGTTATATTTACATTTTTTAGTCAGTAATAGCTTTTTATTTTCTATTTTTTTAGCACCAATAATTGATTATTTTATTGCTTTTACAGTCTTCCTACAAGCCTTCGGAGGAAGACTTAAACAAATGTCAAAAAGAAATTGAATCAATACTCAGAAGACTTCAGCTCCAGGACCAACATCAACAGCTGCTGTCATCAGAGGATTTTATTAAAGTAGGCAGAGCTATAAAACAGACTAGCGAGATTTCTGAGAAAGATCTAGTTTGCATGTTTTTTCAGAGGTTATTGATGTTAGATTACAGAGCTAGATACATACATGTACAGCAAAAAAACTTGAATAGGAAAACCTTGAAGTTTGTCTCAAAGTCTGGAAGTACTGTCACAGATGAAAATGATTTAGCAGCTCTTTTCACATCAAATGTAGACTTAAACCAGTCAAAAGAAAGTCATGTACATTCAATGGATGTTCAAATGGCAGCATTTCGCTGCTCAGATGGCTTCCTTAAACAGAAAATGATTACCAAGCTGTCACAGTGTCAGTATGCCTTGCCATTGCTTATCCCTGATCCTGACACAACAAATATTGAGTGTCCGCTGTGGACATTCAGACAAATAACCAAAACATGGAAAAGAGTTACAACAAAAGACAATAAAACCACTGTTACAATGAAAAGCATTCCAATCTACAAAGCTCAGACTCCCATGGTTTCATTTTTCCGACTGGGCTCCATGTCTTTGTCCAAATCTCAGCTCATGAATGCCTTGATCAACGACCGCCACAACACATTCTACCATAGAAACTGCCCAGGCAGCACCAAATCTCGTTATTTGATGGATGGTGTGGCAGAGATTGCCTGGTACTGCCCTGCTGGAAAACCCAGTGATTTCTTTACTGACTGCACTGCCTTCTGTAATCTTCATGGGGATTCACTAAAAAATGTAAAACAGCGTGAAATATTAACTGAAAAGTCCTCAGTCATTGTGGTTCTTGTAGAAACTTTGGAAAAAGGCCAGGAAAGTAGCAAAATCATTTCAATGCTTTACAAGTCCCCAAAGCCTCTCATTATTCTCATTGCTGACAATGGCTGTAGGGCAGTTGAGATGAAACCAGCAAACTACAAAGTGGGTCTGAAAGAAAGAAGCCAGTCGGATGTTTCTGAAGAATTGAAAGAGATTATAAGAGCCATTTTGTCTGGACCTCACACAACCTTTCAACTTGAAATAATGGCAAATGACTTCAGAGTCACGGCAGATGAAGATGCAGAGGATTGCAGGAATGGGAAATCTGCTGCCATAAAACTGGTTCAACTGATTGAAGGGAAGGATGTTTCTAAAATAAAAGCTACATTTCTTCCCTGCCAAGGCCAGCCTTGGTTCGAATGGTGCAAAATCAAAAAAGAATCACACAACCTAAAGGGACACATTGAGAAAGAAAGGAGTATGAAAATCCAGCAGCTAATGGAGCTGAGACAAAAGCAGAGTGACCTGTCCAACAGTTCACTGATGAAGTCATTCACTGAGAGCCTTGTGCGTTTGCCACCAAAAGACAGAGAATATTTCTTGAAATGGACTCAGATCCTGATAGATGAACTCTCTACAGATGACCTTTCTTCAGTTCTCCAAGAGTATGATAAAACATGGTCAGAAGTCTTGGAACTAAAGAAGAAACATGACAAATCTGCCGAATTAAATGACAAACAAGCTCAGCTTAATCAGTTATCAAAAAAGCTCCAATCAGCAACTTTTGGTCTGGAACACATCTTCAGAGAAATGGGGCAGATCTACGAAGCTCACAAATTTTTGAAAAACCTCTCACCAGGCCAACAGGCTGAATGGACTAAATACCCTGAGCTGGCTGCAGATCTGATGATAAAAGGACACCCGATGGAGCTGATGGATGGTGATGCAGGCCATGTGCCTTTAATATGGGTCTCCAGTCTTATACAGGAAGTCATCAAGAAACTGGGTGACCAGCGAGTCTTTGTGCTGTCAGTTCTAGGCGTACAAAGCAGCGGGAAGTCAACAATGCTGAATGTCATGTTTGGATTGCAGTTTGCAGTGAGTGCTGGGAGGTGCACCAAGGGTGTTTACATGCAGCTGGTTAAACTGTCAGATGAAATCCAGAAAGACTACAAGTTTGACTATATTCTAGTTGTTGACACTGAAGGACTACGTGCTCTTGAGTTAGCAGGCAACGCCACCATTCATCATGACAATGAACTTGCAACATTTGTTGTTGGTCTGGGAAACATGACCTTAATAAACATCTTTGGTGAGAATCCAGCTGAGATGCAAGATGTCCTGCAGATCGTTGTGCAGGCTTTCATGAGGATGAAAAAGGTCAAGCTTTCTCCAAGTTGTGTGTTTGTTCACCAGAATGTCACAGATATTACAGCAACAGAGAAAAACATGGATGGAAAAAGACACCTGCAGGAAATACTGGACAATATGGCTAAACTAGCTGCCAAAGAGGAAGGGTGTGATGTTGAGTGCTTCAGTGATGTCATTGCATTTGATGTGCAAAAAGATGTTAAATACTTTGCTCAGCTGTGGGAGGGAAGTCCACCAATGGCTCCTCCAAATCCAGGGTATAGTGAGAGTGTCCAAGAACTGAAGACCATCATCCT